CCCGGATGTTCCCCCCCACACACAACACACAGAGGAAAAAAAAAAAAAAACACACACACACACACACACACACACACACACACACACACACACACACACACACACAGACACACACACACACACACATACACACACACACACACACGCACACACAGACACACACACACACACGAAAAGTCCCGGGACCCTTCTCGGACGGCCTCCCCCTGGCCCGGGGCACCTTTCGGACAGCCACTGGAGGCCTCCGAGATGGGGTCGAAGGATCGCGCCGCATCGCTGATACATCGGCAATACACCGCCGATGCGTCGACGATGCGCTAGCGGCGCCGGCGATGCATCGGCGACGTCGGCGTGAAGGAAATTGGGCCCACACCGAAAAAGAACACTAAAAATAAATAAAAACAGAGAGAGAGACTCACATACACAAAGATGACCTCACGGAAAAAAGACCGAGAAACTCGAGAAAAGAAAACACACACACGAAAATAAAAAGCGAAGCTAACATACAACCCCCCGCCCGCCGCCGCCACCGCCGCAACTCCAGACCGTTCAATCCCGACCCGGTCAGCAGGACCCCAAAAACAGCACATGCCAGGAACATCACTCACCGCAACGCCACCTACCAGCGCTGATAGAGAGCATATCTGGAAAGCATTCCCCTTAAGATTCAGATGAGAATCCAGTTGAAGAATTCTGCTGTTCTCGCAGTCGTAGACGCATTCGCGCTGACAGTCGCAGTGGCAACGGCAGTCGCAGTCACAGCCTCAGCCTCAGCCTGCCTCAGCCTCAGCCTGCCTCAGCCTCAGCCTCAGCCTCAGCCTGCCTCAGCCTCAGCCTCAGCCTGCTTCAGCCTCAGCCCCAGTCTGCCTTCAGCCTCGGCCGCAGCCTCAGCCTGCCGCAGCCTCAGCCTGCATCAGCCTCAGCCTCAGCCTCAGCCTGCCTCAGCATCAGCCTGCTTCAGCCTCAGCCTCAGCCTACCTCAGCCTCAGCCTCAGTCTGCTTCAGCCTCAGCCTCAGTCTGCCTTCAGCCTCGGCCTCAGCCTCAGCCTGCCTCAGCCTCAGCCTGCCTCAGCCTCAGCATCAGCCTGCCTCAGCATTCAACATGTGGCCCGGGAATGGAGTTCTGGGAACTCGAAGAACACGAAGTGGCCTACAGTTGGCTCCGGGCATTCAAAATCATGCCCAGGAATGGAGTTCTGGGAACTCGAAGACCACGAAGTGGCCTACAATTGGCTCCGGGCATCCAAAATGTGGCCCGGGAATGGAGTTCTGGGAACTCGAAGACCACGAAATGGCCTACAGTTGGCTCCGGGCATCCAAAATGTGGCCCGGGAATGGAGTTCTGGGAGGTCGAAGAGCACAAAGTGTGTGACTGTTGGCGGAAAGTGAGCCCGGCTCTGTTCCCGGTTCTCCAGAATGTGTCCCGGGAATGGAGTTCTGGGAGGTCGAAGAGCACGAAGTGTGTGACTGTTGGCGAAAAACGACTCCCGGTTCTCCTCCCCGGCACCCGCCCAGACCCCCCTGAGGAGTCCAGATGCTCTCTTTTGACCCTACTAGAAACCTATCAGCAAACGCTGTTAGGTAAAAACTGCAACGCAAATCTTCGTAAACCCGGGTCAGCCAATAGGCGCGGCCGCCTCGCGGCCACGAGCGGCTCCCTAACCCGGGTCAGCCAGAGGGGGTCTTCGCAGGATCCTGCCGGATCCGGTGCCGTGGCTGACCCCCGTTTGCATTGACCCCCGTCTCAAGGCTCCCGAGTTCGAGGCTGGCGAGGCTTCCCGGGCCTCCCACGCTGGCCACAGCCGCACTCCTCCTGACACTGGCGGGCGGCCCCCCCGGTGGCCTCGCGGCGAGCCCCAGCGCGGGCAAGGAAGGCCCGAGGACGGCCTCCGAGGGGCCCCTGAGACGGCCAGAACAAGGCCCAACAGCCCCCAGTAGGGCCCCAGAAGACGCCCAGGAGGGCCTCGAGATGCAAACATCTATATATATATATATATATATATATACATACATACATACATATACACATATATATATATATATAGATAGATATCTTTGGGGGTTCTGATGAATGTTAGCGTTTTCGTTTGTTGGGCATCCGATACACCACGAGGGCCCCACGAGCTTCCGAGATCGCCACTCGACGGCCAAATAAACTTCCGAAGCGGCCCCGGCACGGACGAAGACGACACCAACACGGCCCAAAACGTCCCAAAAAGCTTCAGAGACGGCCCGAGACGGTCCAAAAGAGCTCCAAGCGGCCCAACACTGGCCAAAAACAGCCCCCGAGGACTCGAATACGGCCCAGGAGGGTCCCAAGACGGTGCACGAGGCCCCCAAAACGCTCCAAAGGCCTCTAACAGACCCCCGAAAAGCTCCCTGAGGCCACCTACACAGCCCAACAGACACCCAAAAGACACCCAAAGGCCTCCAAGATCTTTCCAACAGCTTTGAAAATGCCCACTCCAGGAAGGGTCCAAGACGGCCCACTGACGAACGCAGGTTTGACGCCAAGACTCCTGCCCCCTGGCGGCGCTGTGACGGACACAGCATGGACGCCAAGGACCCCAGAGTTCCACGGGACGGAAGCGCCCTTTGGTAAGCGGGTCGGCACGCCAAGGCTCCCGAAAGCGAGCGGCAGCTCATAACACCGAGGTTTCAAGAGAGAGCGGCGCAACGTGCCCCAAGCGGCCGCGGCCCCGAGACACCGCGAGGACCCAAAACGGATTCACAGACGCCTCCAAGACGCCCAGCCCGTCACGCCAAGACCCAAAACCGTCTGACGATGATTCGGGATGACAAGCCGGCCCCGGGTAGTTGAAAATGGGGCAGACCCCAAGGTCTGCGGGTGCACACCCACAAGCAGCAGACATTGCTCGCAAATCCGCCATCACCGTGCGCTGGTTTTTGGGCGTGGTCGACAAATTGCCCAACGTGGAGCACCGAGCACGTGCGGCGCACCTTGCAGGCATCGCGCACCTGGTTGGCGTCTCCATTGGATCGCGATGGTTGTCGATAGCGGCCGCTGCCTGTGCTGAGACCCGGGTGTTACTTGTTCTATGGGAAGGCAGGTGGGAGTGAGCGACACGGTTTGCGGCTTAGGGTAGCTTAACCCCTCCCCCGACCCCTCCCCCTGGACCTGGAGCGGGGGGGCGGCGACCCCATTTGAGCGTCCAAGATGCCCCAAGACTGCTCCAAGACGGCCTCAGAGAGCCACAGATGACCTCCAAGATGGCTCAAGGTAGCTCGAGATAGCTCAAGATGGCGTCCAAGAACACCCCCAGAAGGGTCCAAGTGGCCACGGAGCCTTCCAAGGAAGCCACCAAGATCAACATCCTTCGAAAGTCTTAGCAAGAGAACTGTTTTGTGCCGTCTCGCCTGTTCGCGTTCGACGGCCGTCCGAGGCCTCAAGGGCGCTCCAAGAAGGCCCAAGAGAGCCCCAAGAGGAGCCCAAGAGGGTACCAAGACAGCCCCCAGAGCGCCCAAGAGCGCTCCAAGAGCGTTCCAAGAGGGGCCCAAGAGGCGATTTTAGGAGCTGCAGAGGGGGGGCCTAATGGAGTACCCTCTCCTTCTTTGATCGAATTCCTCTAAGATTGCCCCAAGACTTTCCGAGGTGGCTGAAAATGGTCTCCAACACCTGCAGACAGGCACCTGCAATACCCTGCAAACACCCTGCGAACACCCTGCAAAGTCCCTGCAAAGACCATGCACAGAATTGAAGAGGGCACCAAGAAGCTCCCAAGAAACCCCCAAGAGGCCCCAAGAGCCCCCGAGGCCCCCAAGACGCTCCAAGAGGACCCCTGGACAGACAAGAGGCCCCAAGAGGCTCTCAAGAGGCATCCGAAGAGACTCCGAGGGGCATCCAAGAGGAATCTAGCCTTTCTGCTCGGCCCTCCTTCTCGTCCGCATCCTCCTCCTCCTCATTCTTCTTAGCACCATTATGATTAGTAGCATTCGTATTAGCATTGTGTTTCGCCTTGCTATTCTTATTAGTATGGTTCGCATTCGTCTTGTTAGAATTATGGTTCGTATTGTTGTGTATGCTTAATCGCATGATTAGTAGTCGCCCCCGTAATAGTATGACTATGTTTATTATTGGTATGTATCATTCGTATTATTACCAGTAGTATTATTCTTAGTCGTAACATCCTCCTCCTCCTCCTCCGCCTCCTCCTCCGCCTCCTCCTCCTCCTCTTCCTCAGCCGCCCATTCATTCTCCTCCCTCTCCCTTCCTCCCCCCTCCTCCTCCTCCTCCTCCTCCTCCTCGTCCTCCTCCTCCTCCCCATCCTCTTCCTCCTCATCCGACTCTTCTTCAATCATCCATCTCTTGAAAGAAAGGGCTTCCCCGGCCCCTTCTTACACTGCATGCTTCGCCATATCCCTGATGAGGGTAACTCGCCTGGGCGTCGTTCCTGGATGGACTGGTGGGAATACTCAAAGCGTCCAGAGTATGAGTAGGAGAAGGACTAGGGATAATGAGAATAGGATGAGTACGGGCGGCATGGGGAGGAGGAGAGGAGGAGGAGCAGCAGCAAGCAGAAGGGGGAAACAGAAGCAAGTGACGGAAAACGGGGAAGTCAAAATTTTCAACTGGGGCCCTCCCCTGCCCTGATCCCCTCCCCTCCCCTGGTCCCCTCGAGGAGGCGGAGCAGGAATGCAAGCAACCCCGTGCGGACCCGACTCCTCAGGGCCCGTGCTTTAGAAACCCGCGGGGAGGGGGGGCACAGAATTGGAAAGACGTCTGCTGCCAAGTAGAGACACCTACAGGTAGTGGATACCTCACGCACGCAGACACACACACACACACACACACACACACATACACACAAGTCCAGATTCGGTCCATTGGCATCAGTGCGGCGACAATCACAGACTGGCTCAGACACTCCCCTGGTTCCATCCCCTACTTCCTCCCCTTCCCTCGTCCCTCATTCACTCGTCCGCTCTTGCCCGCCCTCCTCCCCGTCCTCTCGAACAAACAGTCGAAAGGGGTCAGCGGCCTCGGCGTCGTCCCAGCCGCCGTCCCAGCCGCCCCATCCCTGCGGAGGGGCGGACGTCTGAAACTTCATGATCGGGGGCGCGAAACAGGCAATCCGACCCGTCGGAATCCAGTAGCGAAGGCAAACACTCAAGACGAGGAGCAACATGGTACAAGAGGAGGAGGAGGAGGAGGAGGAGGAGGAGGAGGAGGAAGAGGAGGAGGATTATCAGCGAGTGCCCTAGCTGAAATATTTGACCTGTGGTGTCGAGGGGAGCGTGGTATGACGAAATCTGTACAGATCCACTGCTCCCTTGCCAGGCCCTTCTTGAAGCCAGCAGCGGTGTATACGGCACGCCCTCGTGGCTCGGCCAGGAGGGCGTATACACAGCTCCTGGGTTCAAGGTGGGCCTGGCCAGGGAGCAGTGGATATGCACTGCTTTCGCAGCCCGAGCGTCACGGGCCCATCGACCCAAGGAGCACGGGGACCAGGAGCCCGTCCGAGAGCTGAACCCAAGACGATCGCAAGCTGCAGCTGGGCAGGCCGGACTGGACGGAACCCAAGCCTCCCCCGCGCAGCCCCTCGGGCCGAGAGGGCTGCGTCGAGGTGCACACTTGCCTCCAGACGATGCAAACCCCCTCCTCCTCTTCCTCATCATCCGCCTCCTCCTCCTCCTCTTCCTCCAACTCCTCCACCTCCACCTCCTCCTTCCGTAGCCATTTTGGCTCAAGGTCATGACTTCCCTGGCGGGATACACGGATACTGCTAGTCCGCGGCCAGTGCCAGGGCGCTTGCGCTCGACAATCCACCCTTTCAGCCAGCACCTAAGGGGCTCACTGGCGGCCCACTCCTCCGTGCTGCTCTCCTGGTCGGAGGGCCCGCTGCGATGTTCAAGGCTTCTCGCTATCAGCAGGGTCGGATGGCGTGGGCCAAGCCTGTGCCGTTGGTGCACCAACGAGGCAGGTGATCGTTGGTGGACCCCTGCGGCAGCCAAAGTGTGCGGAGGTGAATGCAAGTGCGACAAGAGCGTGGCCTTTGTCTCCATCAAGCAAGCAGCTTGCCGACTTGCACAAGCAGCTGGAGTCCAAAGGCGACGACTCGCACATGCAGGTCGACGCGGGCAGCAGGATGCCCACTGCCGTCATCGACAATGATAAATGGAAAGCAGCGGAGGCCGAGGCGATGCTCAAGGCCTTGCCACGTGAACCAACCTCGGAGTTCGCCCTGCAGCAGAAGATGCACCTTGAGCGGCACCGAGACAGCTGAAAGGCCAAGCTGCGGGAAGCGCAGCCTTTCGAGTGGAGGGCCCATGACGTGGTCAACCAGAAGAAGCAGCTCACCATCAAGAGCGACAAGCTTGAGAAGGCGGTGGAGGCGGAGAAGGCGGCCGGCGAGGAGGCCAAGAACGTGTTGGAGGAGGCCGAGCGAGCACACTCGAGCAGATCGTGGCGAAGGAGGCTGAGCTCAAGAAGGCTCTGGACGCCCAGCCCAAGCTGCCGCACGAAAGGGCACTCTCCTCCTCCATCGAGGGCTTCGGAGCTTCGGTCGGGGAGCTGGGCCAGCTCTTCAGGGCATGAAGATTGGGTGAGCAGGAGGCTGCTGCGTTGTCTGCCCACCTCAAATCTGCCATGTGGGCCATCATGGACGCGGAGAAGAAGGTCGGGCCAGAGGTGCAGCAGCCAGAGCCTGTGCACATTCCTGATGATGCTCATGTCCCTGCTCCTGTCTCTGCTCCTCCCACGCATGTGCAGGGTCTCACTCGTTCGAGGGCTGCCAAGCGGATGGCGTTGGTAGGGCATTGGTCATACTTGGAGGCCTGGACATGGGCACCAACACCAACACAGGGGGTTGCCTCCACAGGGGGAAGATGATCCTACAGTCGGGGCGTTGACCTAAGGAACCCTAAATAAGGAACGAGGCCCCTCTTCTCCACAAGTTAAACTCCGATTTCCTGTCGAAAACATAGGGAAAACCTGAGGCAAACTGTGAAACAATCAAGGAACACGGAGCCCCTCCCAAACGAAAAGTGTTCCTTCTGCAAGACCCCTAGGGCCCCTACTGTAGATGTCGGTGTTGGTGGTACTATTTCGGCCACCTTGGAAGCCAGAGTATTACCACCATCACGGAGATCGGGATCTTCTTCCCCCGTTGGAGGCACACCGCCGGAATTGGTGTTGGTGTCCACCTCCAGGCCTGCGACATACCTCAGAGTCTGCGGGGTGGTGCTGAGTAGCCTCTTGCTGTTCCAGTACTGTGATCGCCGTGATCGTAATGCCGTGCCCCGTCCCCAGGGAGCACGCGGCCCCGAGCCAAGCGTTTGCATCGATCTTGCATATCTACGCTTTGCTAAATATATATATATATATATATATATATATAGATATAGATATATAATATATATAATATATGTACATCTATACATATATATATATATATATATATATATACACACTGCGAACATATAAAGATTGGCCTTCGAACATTCCCGTCACGGTACTCGGGCTGTGTGTCAGAAGCCTCTTGTTGTTCGTTGGCAGCTCGCAGAAAGCCTCTCGGGAACCTCGTCGAGGGCGGCCGTGAAGCCTCTTGGGGGGGCCCTTTGGGGGCTTCGTGGGGCATCTTTCGGGCCTCTTTCGGGCCTCTTTCGGGCCTCTTGGGGCCTCGTGAAGGGCCTCTTGGGAGCACCTCGAAACGCCTCGTCGGGGTCTCTCTGGGCCTCGTGGGTGCCTGAGGGGCGGAAAGCTGGAATTGTGGGCTCGTGTTCCCCCTGTTGGGCTGTCTTGGGGGGCCTATTGGGCCGTCCTGGGGCCCTCTCGAGTAATGTTGGGGCTCCCGAAGAGGTCTATGACGCCATCTTGGGGCTTTCTTGGACCCCTCTTGGGACGTGTCGGGACGGTCTTTGGCGCCTCTTGAGCCGTCCAGGAACGTTGGAAGCCCAAAGCCTTGAGAATGCCTGAGGCGCCGCCAGGGGGTCCCAGCGCCGATCCGAGAAATATGCGCGGACCTCCGAATTTGTATGTTTATGTCATTATTCGTTCCCCTAACCTCAGGCGGAATCCGTTGTTGTCGCACTCTGGGGCCCAATAGCACCCCGACGGGCAAAAGCCCCTGATGCGAGAGTCGAGGCAGGCAATCGAAAAACACGGTGGGCACTGGGGGGGGGGTAATAACCATTTAAGAACGGTCGCTCCTTATCACTCAACATGCATACCCCAAACCATCGACTCCCGCCCTCTTCGTTTATGAACGTGCCCCAGTCGAGGGCCCCTAGAGAGAGTAAAAACAAAGCCCGATATTGAAACAGGGTCCCAGTCGAGCGCACAGACAAGGCCCGAGAGAGCAACACGAGCGGATCGGGCGGGCGGACCCTCGCGGGCGGGTCGGAAGGAGCGCTACATGACGGCTGGGACGGACGGGGCGGTACGTGCAAGCGAACGGTGGCAGATCAAACATCTCCAACCACCCATCCAGAATCGTCCCCGGGCTGTGTTTGAGGATTTTCTAACCTCCCCGGCGGGTCGGGCGGGCGGGAGGTCGGAGGTGGGCGGAGCGGGGTCGGTCGGGCGGGCCCGGAGCGGACGCGTCCGGAGGGCGGGCCCCGAGGGGGGCAGGCGGGGCGGGGGTGGGGCAACGGAGCGAGGCGCGGCGCGAGAGCGCTGCTCTCCTGCGCTGCGGGGGGCGCAGATCCGCGGAGGGGTGGAGAGAAGTCCTCGGCGCCCTGGAAGGATGCCCAGCGCGAGGGTTTAGGGTTTAGGGTTTAGGGTTTAGGGTTCCTCCTCTTCCTCGTCCCTCCTCCCTCTTCCCTCCTCCCTCCTCCCACCTCCTCCTCCCTTCCCTGGCCAGCTAAGAGACAGGAAGCGAGGGCCGGGGGGGCACACGTCGATTGAAAAAGAGGGCACTGGGCAGGGGCTCAGCAATATAGCCTCAGTGGTGAAAGCTCAGCATCGTAATCGCAAGTATCAGCATCAGCATCAGTTTCACCATCGTCACCGTCATCATCAGCATCAGCATCATCATCATCATCATCATCATCATCATCATCATCATCAGCAGCAGCAGCAGCAGCAGCAGCATCATCATCAGCAGCAGCACCAGTATCATCATCAGTATCAGCAGCATCATCAGCATCAGCATCATCATCAGTATCAGCAGCGGCAGCATCAGCATCAGCATCATCAGGATCAGCATCAAAAACATCATCGGCATCAGCAGCATCATCACCATCATCACCATCATCATCATCAGCATCAGCATCAGCATCATCATAAACACCAACACCATCACCATCATCATCAGCAGCAGCATCACCATCATCATCATCATCATCATCATCATCATCATCATCATCATCATCATCATCAGGATCATCAGGATCATCATCACCATCATCATCAGCATCAGCATCATCAGCATCATCGTTATCACTATCATTATCAGCTGCATTATCATGATTCGCGCTATCATCATGGGCATAATCGTCGTCAGCGGCAGTAGATCAACAACAACAGCATTGTAACCATCATAATCATCACCATCCCCTCACCACCGTCAGCATCACCACCAACAGCACCATCCTTTACCATCGTTATCGTCGTCGTCGAAACCATCGCCATCCAAATCACCATCATCATCATCACTACCACCATCATCATCATGATCACCATCGTCATCATCACAATCGCCATCAACACTCCCATCATCATCATCATCATCATCATCATCATCATCATCACCATCATCATCATCATCATCAGCATCATCAGCATCAGCATCAGCATCAGCATCATCAGCATCAGCATCAGCATCAGTATCAGCATCATCATCATCTTCATCGTCGGCATCGTCATCGTAGTCATGACTAGTATCTTCACAGTTGACAGCATCACCAAGAAAATCGTGAAAGCAGTCAAAAGCAGCATCCGATACAAAAGTACTGATCATCCCAATTATCTTCCCTACTCCTTGTCGTCTCCTCACCATATTTCTCCTCGTTCCCCTCCTCGTTCTCCTCGCCCATCCCTATCCTCCGCCTCCCCATTCCCCGAAGCACTCTCCTTCCCTCCGCATTCCCCCTTCCACCACCCCCCCCTTCCTCTGAAAGATGCACCCAGGGGACCTACAGAAGGGCAGGACCAGAAATGGTTAGTGGGAAGGGCCACTGCCTTTTCGCAGCCATCCCCTCCCTCCTGAGATCCGACGTTGCGAACAAGTGCGCTCTCGCGAAGAATCACGACTGGATCCACGCATCCGTCTCGTGATCTTACCGCTATCGCGAAAAAATGCGTTCTCGCGAAGAATGGAATCCGTCTGTCTGCTGCATCTTCGAGAAGGATCTATATATGTCATGGTCCTGGGGCCCGAGACCGGGCAAGAACGCCAGGTGTGAAAAAAGCATCGCCCCGATCTCAGGGTCCCCCCCCCCGAGGCCTCCCAGATGGGGTCGGAGTAGCTGGGGTCGATCGGAGGATCGTGCTGCATCGCCGACGCATCGCTGAGGCATCGGCGATGCACCCGCGACGTCGACAGTGCATTCGGCGGCGTCGGCGTGGAAAAGTCGGGCTCCACATCGAGCCGCATCGTCGATGCATCGGCGATGCGGAACGATCCTCCGACCCCATCTGTGAGGCCTATGCCCCCACCTGTGACGATCTGCTCAGACCCCATCTGTGGAGCGATCCTCCGACCCCATCTGTGACGATCTGCTCAGACCCCATCCGTGAGGCCGATGCTCCCGCCTCTCCTCCTCTGCAGTCCACGCCGCAGAAGGGCGCTCCTCCCCGAGGCTCACCATGAAGGGCGGGGCCGGACAGGGGAGCGGCGGGCAGGTGGCCGCCTTGCCGCAGCCGCCCCAGGGGCCCATCATCCACATGAGGCTCATCTCCCCGGGGCGAAAGCAGGAGGTGCAAAGGGAGGGACGGAGACGAGGGAATCGGATTCGGCATGAGGACGATGAATCCCAAAGGTTCCCGTAGAAAACTCGGCTCGCATTTTCCTGGAAAGGGCGTAGGCCCAGGGTTCTCTTTTGGTAGGTTTACCCCCCGATCTGATGGGAAGAGGGCCGGCGGATTTCTCTTGCGATAAATAACGAGTGGGAAGAGGGCCGGCGAATTAAAATTTCAGGATGTCCCTAGCGAAACGCTTGTTTTTCAGAATTTGTTGAGGATGTCTCAGGCGAAACGCTTGTTTTGTGTAATAGATTGTCCTCTCCTGGGGACCAGAATTTCGACGATCTCTCAAGTGAACTGCTTGGTTTCACGTGCCCAGGTCTTGAGGATGTCTCGAGCGAGACGCTTGGTTTCACGCCTCCAGGTTGCCCAGGCAGAGGTCAAGCGCCAGGATTTGTTGAGGATGTCTCGAGCGAGATGTTTGGTTTCACGCGTCCTCGTCGCCCAGGCGGATGTCTAGAATGAGGAGGTGTTGAGGAAATCTCGATCGCGATGCTTGTTTGCACGTGTCCAGGTTGCCCAGGCGGATGCCTAGCATGAGGATGTGTTGAGAATGTCTCGAGAGATACGCTTGTTTTCACGTGTCCAGGTCGCCCAGGCGGATGTCTAACATGAAGATGCGTTGAGGATGTCTCGAGCGAGACGTTTGCTTTCACGGGCACAGGTCGCCAAGGCGGATGTCTAAACTGAGGAGGTGTTGAAAACGTCTCGAGCGAGATGACTGGGGCAGCTACCATCTGCTCAGGCAGCTCGAGCTTAAGATCCAGATCAGTTCGGTCAGGACTCGGATGCAACGGAGGACTCGATCCACAATGATATATAGAGCACAATCGCGGCATGGCACATCGCAGTTCAGCACGGCCCAGCACAGAACAGCCGTCGGCACGGTACATCAAGATCGATACGCTCAACATTGCACCGTGGCACTTTCCTTGGCGCGTTCCGTGGCGAGTCCACCTGGCACGTCGCGCGGCGCGTCCCCTGGCACGTCCCGCGGCACGTCTCTGGCACGTCCCGTAGCGCGTCCCCTTGGCACGTCACGTCCCGCGGTGCGTGCCCATGGCACGTCCCCTGGCACGTCGCCTGGCGCGTCCCTTGGGACGTTCCGCGGCGCATCCTCCTGGCATGTCCCCTCTGTCGATTAGTTCTGGGACAGCTACCATCTGCTCGGGCAGCTCGAGCTTACGATCCAGATCAGTTCGGTCAGGACTCGGATGCCAGGGATGACTCGATCCACAACGCTACATAGAGCACAATCGCGGCATGGCACATCGCAGTTCAGCACGGCGTAGCACAGCACAGCCCTCGGCACAGTACATCAAGGTCGGTACATTCAGCATTGCATGTGCCCGTCGCCCAATCAGGTGTCTTCGAAACGTTGCCATGCCTTACATTTCTATGTTCCTTTCTGGGTTCGTGGGTCGATCATGTTCAGAATGTGGTGAGGATGTCTCGAGCGAAACGCTGGTTTTGCAGAGTTAGGGTATCCAACATGGCGTCGGGCCCAACGCCGAATTATGTGGAAACGCACGGGGGGCCGAAAAGCGCTACCCGAACACATGTCCCAATACAGAAAAGTGATGGTTTCTTGCTCTGAACAGGGGGTTGCGCTTTGGGGGCCTCGCCAGGGAAGACGTTGCGAGGATGTCTCGGGCGGGAGCGCGAATTCAGCGTATCCAGGTCACGCAGGGGGGTACCGAACATGGTTGTCCCGAGCTGGAACCACGTGTTTTTTTCCATGCTCAGGCCACCAAGGGAGATCTCTAACATGATTGTCCCTAGCTGGAATCAAGTGTTTTTCCCGGAAAGGGCACAGGCCCAGGGTTCTCTTTTAGTAGGTAAACCTGTCCCCGGTGCCTTAACTGAGGTGGGCCGGCGGATTCTTTCCCTGATAAATATCGAGGTCGAGGTGGGCCGGCGGATTAAAATGTTAGGATGTCTCAGGCGAAACGCTTGTTTTTGAAATCCCGATCGATAAATCACAGGGTGCGGGCCACTCTTTCGTGTGTCAAGGATGTCTCGAGCGAAACGCTTGCTCCGCAGAGTTACCGAGGATGTCTCGAGCGAATCGCTTGTTTTGAAAGCGTCCCAATACGGTGTCGTGAAAACGTTTCCATGCATGCGGTTCTATATGCGTTTCCACGACCACACCCCAGCACGACCACACCCCATCACGACCACACCCCAGCACGACCCCACCCCAGCACGACCCCACCCCAGCACGACCAAACCCCAGCACGACCACACCCCAGCATTACCCCACCCCAGCACGACCCCACCCCAGCAAGACCACCACCCAGCACGACCACACCCCAGCACGACCTCACCACAGCACGACCACACCCCAGCACGACCACGCCCCAGCACGACCACGCCCCAGCACGACCACGCCCCAGCACGACCACCCCCCAGCACGACTACCCCCCCAGCACGACCACCCCCCAGCACGACCACCCCCCAGCACGACCACACCCCAGCACGACCACTCCCCAGCACGACCACACCGCCTTGGTTGAGTGGTTGCCTGTCGTCGTGGAATGTTTCGTGGGGTGCCTCGTGGACTGTTTCGCGGGGTGTCTCGTGGAATGTTTCCAGGAAAACGTTGAAAACGGTCGCCCGTGTCTCGTTGAATGCTTCGCGGGGTGTCTCGTGGAAGTGCCCGTCGCCCAATACGGTGTCGTGAAAACGTTTCCATGCATGCGGTTCTATATCCATTTCCGGGTTCGTGGGTCCATCATGCTACGTCTCCAGGCCACCCAGGGGGTATCTAACATGGTTGTCCCGAGCTGGCACCGTGTTTTTACGTGTCCAGGCCACCAACACGACGGTTGTCCCTAGCATGTTCTGTAGCGCGTCCCCTTGGCACGTCCCGCGGTGCGTCCCCGTGGCGCGTCCCCTGGCACGTCGCCTGGCGCGTCCCTTGGAACGTTCCGCGGCGCGTCTTCCTGGCACGTTTCCTTGTAAATTCGCTCTGGGGCAGTTACTATGTGGACTATGTGCTCAGGCAGCTCGAGCTTAAGACCCACATCAGTTCGGCCAGGACTCGGATGCAACGGAGGACTCGATCCACAACACTATAGAGCACAATCGCGGCATGGCACATCGCAGTCCAGCACGGCGACGCACAGTACAGCCCTCGGCACGGTACATCAAGATCGATATAATCACTCAGCATTGCAACCTGGCGCGTTCCTTCGCACGTTCCGTGGCGTGTCCTGTGCCGAGTCCCCCTGGCACGTCGCGCGGCGCGTCCCCTGGCACGTCCCGTGGCACGTCCATTGGCACGTTCTGTAGCGCGTCCCATTGGCACGTCCCCCCATGGCACGTCCCCTGGCACCTCGCCTGGCGCGTCCATTGGAACTTTCCGCGGCGCGTCTTCCTAGCATGCCCCCCCTGTGGATTAGCTTTGGGGCAGCTAGCATGTTCTCAGGCAGCTCGAGCTTAAGATCCACATCAGTTCGGTTAGGACTCGGATGCAAATGAGGACTCGATCCACAACGCTATAGAGCACAATCGTCACATGGCACATCGCAGTTCAGCACGGCGCAGCACAGCACTGCCTTCGGCACGGTACATCCAGATCGATACACTAAGCATCGCAATTTGGCGCGTCCCGTGGCGAGTCCCCCTGGCACGTCGCGCGGCGCGTCCCCTGGCACGTCCCGTGGCACGTCCATTGGCACGTTCCGTAGCGCGTCCTCTCGGCGCGTCCCCGTGGCACGTCCCCTGGCTCGTCCCCTGGCACCTCGCTTGGCGCGTCCCTTAAGACGTTCCGCGGTGCGTCTTCCTGGCATGTTCCGCTGTCAATTAGCTCTGGGGCAGCTACTATGTGCTCAGGCAGCTCGAGCTTAAGACCCACATCAGTTCGGCCAGGACTCGGATGCAAAGGAGGACTCGATCCACGACACTGTAGAGCACAATCGCGGCATGACACATCGCAGTCCAGCACGGCGACGCACAGCACAGCCCTCGGCACGGTACATCAAGATCGATACACTAAGCAGTGCAACCTGGCACGTCCCTTGGCACGTTCCGTGGCGCGTCCCGTGGCGGGTCCCCCTGGCACGTCGCGCGGCGCGTCCCCTGGCACGTCCCGTGGCACGTCCATTGGCACGTTCCGTAGCGCGTCTCCTTGGCACGTCCCGCGGTGCGTCCCCATGGCACGTCCCCTGGCACGTCGCCTGGCGCGTCCCTTGGGACGTTCCGCGGCGCGTCCTCCTAGCATGTTCCCCTGTCAATCCGCTCTGGGGCAGCTACTAGTTATGTCTTCAGGCAGCTCGAGCTTAAGATCCAGATCAGTTCCGTCAGGACTCGGATGCAAAGGAGGACTCGATCCACAACGCTATAAAGCCCAATCGTGGCATGGGGCATCGCAATTCCGCACAGCGCTGCACAGCATAGCCCTCGGCACGGTACATCAAGATCGATACACTAAGCATTGCATTTGCCCGTCGCCCAATCAAGTGTCTTTGAAACGTGGCCATGACTTACATTTCTGTATTCCTTTCTGGGTTCGTGGGTCGATCATGTTTGGCGCTGCGGCCCTGCGCGCAGCGATACGGCGGAAAAGTCGGAGACTAGCAGCCGCGCTCGCGCGTCTGGAAGCGCCCGAGCCCTCAGAGACCACTGAGGGTCTCGCAGCAGCCAAACCCCATAAGCCATCCCTTCGTGGATGACAGGGGGGGACTGTGGGAAGGCTACGGAGCAGCGGAGGTGCCATCAGCCACCCCACACTGGATGACGGGGGGGCCGAATCATCAGGCCATGTGGAATGACACGGAGACCCATACCGCCCTGAGCCCATGCGGGCAGGGGGCTCACGGGCCTACGGCCAGCAGGTGCCAGGGCCACACACAAAAACACACACACTCACACGCGCGCGCACACTTCGGCGGTGGACAAACCTCCCTTTACTAGACCTCCCCTTAGTGAA